CTAACTTATTACTTAACAAACATTAAACTGAAATTCTGGTTGCTGCAGCTATACCGCGATGTAATTTATTTTTTCGTGAACCTCTACGAAAGAATCACATTTTACGTCCTTATTTCCGAACGAAAAACAATTTTCGAAGGCAAGTAGTTTTTGTCCGCAGACACGAACTTTTCGTCCGCTGCAGGGTTGCCAGCTCTGGCTCTACTGAATTCTCAGTAGATCTCATTGCATATTGATCTACTGATAGTAATCACCACAGCCATACAACTATAATAGACAAGCAGATCATTTTTCTGGCGAGAAAATTAAATCATATATTGGTAAAAAATTCATATATTACAATGGACTGATACAATAGAATTCACTACCAAATAACTTGGAGCTAATTGATAGGATTGAAAAATTTAAAAAAGGATTCAAGAAACATATACTCCTGTAATATTGACACCTTATCTCATTTTTATAGTTTTCTCGTACAACGACTACTATAGGTTTCCATTGAGTACCTAATAGCAGAGTCAATTAAGAATCATTTTCACTTGAACTTAAAAAAAAAGATTCAATATATTGGAAAAAAATCCAATATATTGAAAAATGAGAATCACACGATATACAGGGTGTTTCGAAATTTGGCCGACAACGCTTGACAGGTGATAGCCCTCGTGATTTCATAATCACTGAGATAGGGACATACGATCTTCAAGTGTTCAGTTCTCGAGATACAGGGCGTTGAAGTTGAGAAATTTAAATAGCTTTTTCGCTATATCTCAAGAAAAACTGAATTTGATGCATTCAAATTCGGTATATGGTTTCATCTTTCAATGGTTGATTTTTTGACCAGAAAGACATTCCGAGAATTTTACCCAGAGGTGCGCTACAGGGGGTTGTGATAACTTTTCCTCCCATATTTTTTACGCCACTGATGAAATTTCGATTATTTCAAATTTCTCGAATTGATTGTTCAATTATATTGAAAAACTGCATCACCTTCAACTGAGCTAAAATGAACAGTTATCGAGATATTTGACCCAAAATAGAAGTTTGCATTGTAATTTTTCATCTTCTTCAGTAGTAGAAGATTACAAAAATTTTTGTTTTCTCTTTATGAGTGAAATAACTGTTTCTGTTCAGCTACAGAATGAGATCTGAATAGTATGTAATCTACTCAACACCAAAAAAATATTTTTGCAATTTTCCACTACTGAAAATGATGAAATATTACTATGCAATCTTCTATTTTGGGTCGAATATCTCGAAAACTGTTCATTTCAGCTCAGTTGGAGGTGATGCATTTCTTGAACTTAATTAAACCATGAATTCGAGGAATTGGAAATAATTGAAATTTAATCAGTAGCGTAGAAAATATGGGAGGAAAAGTTGCCACTCCCCCATGTAGGGCACTACTGGATAAAATGTCCGAAATGACTTCCTGTTCAAAAAATAACCCATCTGAAGATGAAACCGTATACCGAAGTTGAATGCATTATATTCAATTTTTCTTGAGATATTACGAAACCACTACCTTTATTTCTTAACTTCAACGCCCTGTATGTCGAGAACTAAACAATTGAAGACCGTATGTCCCTATCTCAGTGATTATGAAATCACGACGGCTTTCTCCTGTCAAGCGTTGTCGGTCGAATTTCGCAACACCCTGTAGAATTGCATTATATACCTCAAATCATCATATAGATATTGATGGCGTTACATCATAAACCAAGAGGATTTAAAATCCAATTTGAAACATAATTCAACTTTCGATTACGACAATAACCGATTGTCAATCAGATTCTAGTCGTGAATGCTCGTTTCATTGGTCATCTAATCTATTATGATTCATCGCAGCGCCTCAGAATTAAATACTAAAGGATGGTGCATATTACCTACTATGCAATATTTCTTTGAACATCATAGGGATTTCCTTTCGTGCGCTCCAAGGGATTAAAAAAATAATAATAAACATGTTACACCTACAATATGCTTCGTGGAGCAGCTTATACTATCCAAACGTCATTTCGTGTACCTTTATGAGGTTGAATTCTGACATTATCACCATCAGCGGAGTAGGTACACATCAGTAATATTGCTCAGTGCTCAGCATTACCTCCACTGCCGCTGGTGGTGGCAGAAGATGTAAAACATTCCGATTATGTTCTGCTTCACATGTTTCACAAGCAACACATTTCATCGTATTTCATGTATTCGATTCTGCATCTGAAGCTATGTGATGAAATAAGTTATATTATTGCATCCAACATACAACATCCCTTTAGGTTTTATAATTTCATCAGGAATATGAGGTTTTGGGGCATTCAATCAACCTCGTTCATTTCAATTTCTCATCGTGTGATTGTCATTTCGCAATATATTGATTTTTTTGTTCAATATTTTGGATTTTTTCCCAACATTGTATTTTTTATTCAACATATTGGTTTTTTTTTCAACACATTGGATTTTTTCCCCTACATATTAGATTTTTGCCAACATATTGGATTCTTTCCAAGATATTGAAAAAAAAATAAGTTTATTTCAAATGATTGACCCCTAGACTCTCTATCATCATTGCGTTTGTAAATATTTGTGCGCCATCACTGGAACATTCTTCCATTACGTTCCTTATAATTATAATATCATTATAGGATATAGGTATTATATCTCATCATAATTATCATTGCCATAGGATGCATGAGACATGAGATGAGAACAAGAAAAATAATAAAAATTCACTTATCTCTTCGTGGGTCTCGACGTCTTGACCTACTCTGAACAAATGAAGTACCTTACCAATCTTTCTCTATCTAACTTTCAAAATGTGTAATGTATAATAATGTGTTTCGATTATACCAGGGTGTAACGGAAACGCGTCCTTGTTGTCATGTCATGGAAAATCACGGTTCAAAATTTTCCCTTTTTGAGGATTCATTCCGTAATTAGTAGATAAGTAGATATTTATATACGAGTAAAATGTTCTTCGAATTATCATAGAATAATTATTTATTGCTATGAAATATTCTATGTGTCAGGTGACAATATTTTCGATAAAACGTCATGACAATTGACAATCATTGCACATTCAGGAATGTTCGCTATTATATACTATACTATATATATGACCTATGACATTCAATTCTCATTGGTGGTGACTGAATATAAATTTGTAATCATAAGGCCTACTTTAAAGCACCTCTCAATATCGATCAAACTTTGTTCGTTTTGAGAAATATTAGATACAGTATTTTTGGAAAGCTCTTTGAAAGATCTATCCAATGATAATAAGGAAAAATATATATTTTCATTCATACATTCCATACATTTCATACATTCACACATTTTGCAGCTTCTTGTTTATTTGTGCCGATATTCAAATTGTATCTGTGAGGCAATTTTTCATTTTTTCTACTGTCAAAAATAAAAGAGTTATAGGGAGTGGTACTTCATAACGTGTCACTCGATACAATAAATTCAACATACTCTCATGATATCACATTCTCTGAGAATATAAAAAATTGTACAAAATATGTTATTGGTGTTATTGTTGTATCATTATTACAGAGCTTTATGAATTTTTTGCTCTCCCCCTTCTCCTCTCCTTTTCTCCTTATCCTCTGCCCTCCTACCACCCTCATCTTCTCTTCTCCTCTTCTCCTCTCCTCTGTTCTCAAGTCAGTTACAAGGTGTTGAATAACATATATTTTTACACATTTTTACGATTATGTCGAAACTACCCTAATAGCACACAACGTCCTAGGGACGTCCCTATTTGGTACAATTTACGTCCGAATGTCCCGAACCAAAAATAAGTGTCCTTGGGACGTCCCATCCCGTACATCTCATGCAATGTCCGAGTAAGGACGTCCACGTAATGTCCCAGCCGGTACATAATTCCAAATGTCCTAGAAATAGCATCCCTTAGACGTCCCACGTGGTACATATTGTAGAATGTCCATGCAAGGACGTTCTTAGCATATCCCTGATGGGATATGATTTTAAACGTTCCTTTTAGGGACATCCATTGGATGTCCCGAGTAGTACATATTCTGGCATGACCTCAGATCTTATATAATGTCCCTTCGAATGTCCCCTAGGGATATCGGATGTCCCAATTGGTACATGAACTGTACGCTTCCAATGTCCTAGAAATAACGTCCTATGGACGTGTCCCAATCGGTACTTTCTATATATATGTTGTCCCTGCGAGGACGTTAACTTACACCTCGCCGACGAATGATTGCTCGTAGGCTATAGGTACTCCTCGTTAATGTCCTCCAGGTAAGTCCATTGGACATCCTTGGGAAACTTTTTGGGGGACCTTCTACGGACCATCAACTCAACTGGATGTCCTCATCAGTTATGCAAGATCTGGTCCTAGAGGGACTCAGAAAAAATTCAAATTCAAGAATAATTCGTACGTCCCTGGGACATCCCATGGACATCCAATTGATATCCCACAGACATCCCTTAAGGACGTCCCTAGTTGGTCCTCAAGTAGGACATTTGTGCGTCTCACAGACGTCCAATGGACGTCCACGGTACCAAATTCGAACGTCCTATTGACGTCCTGAATGTCCCTACAGGGCGTCCTAAGGATATCCATGGGACATGAGTGGGTTATTAGGGATACAGGACACATTGTGAAGAAATTGCAGAGATTATATAATCTCTGCCTATTGCTTGAATTTGTTTTCCTATTTGACTCTCATAGAGGGCGCTAGTAACTCGGTTCGTACCGAGTAATTTCAAACATAACTTTTCGAGGTTGGACTTCTCAGACCAAATTCTATGTTTCACATGGCAGCAAAGTGGATTGAATGCCTTGGCCGCAGCAGTCAATCCACTACTTTGCTGCCTAGTAAAACAAATAACTATTCTCGAACCTCATCTAAGAACCAAACTTTTTTTCTATATGCAATGCAACCGATAATGCAACTGTTATTTGAAAAGTTGATATCCGAGAAAGATAAGGAATTTTTGTACAGACAATTATATAATTACGATTAATTATATCGTCGCTCACAACTCATATACATGATTCCAAAATTCCAGAATCCACATGATATTGATATAAATATAGAATGTTCACGAAATTGCAGTCAAAAGTGTGTGATAGTTTGTTTAGTCTAGACAGAATTTTCGGCAGGACCATGGGATCATTGTTTTATGATCATCTTTCGAATTTGATTGGAAAAACTTCAGGAAGGTGAGTTTTTATGGATTCTACAAGGTGCTTGGTTAACCCACGTTGAAACGGGCTGATTGGTAAAAACTTTTCGAACCGATTCAACCATTTACATAATCTATTATATACAAAGTGCTACGCCTTTTACCGAATTTGGATTTTGTGTAACAACGAGAAACGAATTTTGCTAAATTAGACAAAAGTTGTCTTTTCTAGTGAACAATGAAAACATTTTGTCAAATCGGAAATATCACCAATTGTTTTCAAAATAAACGGAGAAACCCATACTGGAATTTTTCTACCACTTTCAATTCGTGAAGTGTGTTTCTTCCACCAAGGTAGTTTTCTTCATTTTATGAACTCCATTACTAGTCAATAAAGACATATATAGTCACCTCTGTTATAATTAACCCGAATTCACTGTTCTGCTGCGAGATTCGCAGGGATCGCACTCGAATCTAGTAGGTATTTATATACAGGGTGTCCGCTAAAAGGAGGTCAATCCATTAACCATATATTCCTTAAAGATTCAAAATGATCCTCAAAAATCAGTTCACTCGAAATCGTCAATCATAGTTTCTTTCCTATAACTAAATATATAATACTCGATATAATATCTTTACTCGATTTATGTATATCTTTTGTATTGTTCATCAAGACTTGTTAATGTTTCTATATCTTCTTTCGCATCATGTACTTCGAATTTCCTTTGCTAACTATATAACTGATGTATAACTTGCCTCACCACGTAGCTACAATGTGGATGCTATTTTGGTACTTTGTACTGTATGCAACCTAAAATCCTAAATAAATAAATAAATAAATAAACAAAAACAATATGAGTTTCTAAATACTATTTTTCATTTTAGCCCTTCATATTCGATATACAAGGTGTCAAAGTTGGAAATTGAATTAAACGTGAATTTCCTACAATTTTTTTTGTAAAAATTATTTCAATATATTCGCTCAGAGCACCTGGTATTTTCATATTCACCTTTTCGTACTTAAAAAGTTACGTCCTCTTCCAATTTCGACGAAATAAATAGGAGTATGTGAACATTATGCATGAGATTACCGTTAGCCGCATATAGGCATCAAACAATAACCAGTACTTTTCGAATTATCTTAAAAACAAAGAATTTTATCGAAATTTCACAGGAGACAAAAAATACTCAAAAATGATTGAACACTTGAAGAAAAATAGATAGGGAGTCATTAGCGCACGTACAAAAAAAAATGGGGGTATGTGTGTACTATGACCCCCAGTATGTTGAATATTTGACAGTTATTTTCTGTTTTGTTTTCCTCACACGATGTAGGTCTTTGTGCTGATGTAATGTATCAATTCTGAGATCAATATCTCATTAAATACGCGAGTAATTATGGAAAAACAGTTTTTAATTTCCAACTTTGACACCCTGTATATCGAATATGAAGTGCTAAAATGAAAAATGGTATTTAGAAACTCATATTGTTTTTGTTCAAGGAATACATGGTTAATGGATTGACCTCCTTTCAGCGGACACCCTGTATAACGACTTGTCATATGTTATTGTCAAGCTGTCATGATAATATATGGCTACTAGATTCTAATGAGAATTGAAAAGGAGTGCTTCCACAGTGACAATAGGTCCCTATTTCAGTTACACAGAACTAGGTATAGGGATTGAAATATATTGCTAGTGGTGAAAAAATCTGAAATACACCTTGGTAGTAAAGAATAATATTACCACGGGACCTCATACGCCTCGGTTGAAGCATGGGGATATAATCTTTGTCCTTGGGTAATACTGATATTCTTTACTACCTTTTGGTGTATAAATAACTATTTTCTGCAACCGACACAAAAGTCGTCCATTTTGATACCAAAATTAGCTCTTAAATTGACGTTTCTATTACTGACACAAAAATAGGTATGTTGCTAGGCAACATATTTAGTTCCTAGGAGCTAAAGTTGAATTTTAGTTCCTAGGAGCTTAAGTTTTACTTTAGCTCCTAGGAACTAAAAAGGATCTCCTGGACGTCATCAAGCATGAACAACATTGTAACGGTTGGTTATTTGGGTTGAGACGCATAACTGATTTGTTTCCGATTTCAGCAGATTTGGCATTTCATACCCATGCTGAAGATATAAATACATCTTATTATAGTTAAGTATTGGGATTATAAACATCTCAGTTAAGTATTTTTGTTTTGATCAGGGAAGCCTTCAATATTCAAATACTTGCTTGATCTGTATTTCATTCGTTATTCTCGGGATGGATAACTTGTTTTTGAATAATCACGGCAAGCATGAGTTTTTTTTTGACTCAAACAACGATATTGTTCAGCTTCATTTGATTATAAAGTCAAACACAGTGTAGTATGGAGAGGAATAAATAATCACTATCATCATTGTTGATATTCTCTAACATTTTCCACGTCTTGTTTCTATAACTGGCACTGGCGTGGTATTTGCCATTAGAGCACATGGTCCATACACAAATATGTCACTCTGTGGTTGTATTCATATTGAAACTACAATTCGAACATCCTAGAAAACCTAACCTGCTGTTAATGCAGGTAGAACATTCTCACCACATGGATTTTTTGTCAATATTTGTTGCATTGCATACATATGGCACGACATTGGTGGTTACTTCACATGTTTATTTGAGTTAATTGTTTCGGTTGCAGAAAAAATAGCATGTTTCATTCGGATCAAAAGTGACTTTGTTCGACTCGCAAATTTTGCTTTCGCTCGGCTTCGCTAAACGCTCCGCCTCGCAAATGCAAAATTCGCTTGTCAAACAAAGTGTCACTTTTGATCCTAATAAAACAATCTACTATTTTCCATCACTAGCTCTAGAACCTATCATTATTCACTCCCTTTGAAGGCGTATAGTCTGTTTTCAATACCAAGGTAGTTTTCGTCATTTTATGAAGTACTATAGTCAATAAAAACATAGATTTTGACACAAAAAAATGTTAGAGTTGAAAAATCTCGATTTTGAACACTCTATATCCCTGAAACCATAACAGCTACACCCCAAGTGTGATGCATTGATGGAATCAACTCTTCGGGGAGAATCTAAAAATGCAATAAAATTCAAGGTGTTCCATTCGAAATAACAAAGTTGTAACTTCTTTTCGTAAGAAGCGGCAACGCCGCTGGGCTGAAATTATTTTAGAACGATGTCCCTCTCGAAAATGTAGTTGACGTGTTTCAGATTTTTTTCATAATCCGGTTTTGGCGACCTATAGATAGAGCCTCTGTTTCGTTTTCGAAGGCCCACTCTTTATATACACCTTGATAGTAAAGAATAATATAACCCCTTGGCTGACGCCTTGGGATATAATCTTGTCCCTGGGTATACTTATATATTCTTTAATACCTTGGTGCATGGATACCTATTTTCTATACCAACGTAGTTTTCGTCATTTTATAAACTACTAGTCACCTCTGTTATAATTGATCCGAATTCACTGTACTGAAGCAAGATTCGCAGGAATCTAGTATATGTATTTATCAATAACCAATAAGGATTATGAGACGACTTGTCATAATTATGTTTTTTTCGTCATGGCTACTAGATTTTAACCAGAATTGAACAGAAGGGCTTTAATAGTGATAATCTAGGTCCAAATTTTAGTTCCACAGAACTATAATGATTGGAATAATAATATATTGTTAGTGGTCGAAACAATTCAATGCACACCTTTTTAGTGAAGAATATTATTACCACGAGACCTTATTTCCCTCGGCTGAAGTCTCTGGATATAATCTTGGTCCCTGGGTAATGATGATATTCTTCACTACCTTCGTCGACTTCTACAAAGAATCACATTTTACGATCTAATTTTCGAACAAAAAACCGGATATTTTCGAAGGCAAGTACTTTTGCGCAAACACTAACTTTCCGCCCGCAAACATTTTTGGCTGCAGGGTTGCCGATTCTACTAAATTTGCAGTAGATCTCCTGATATGCATATTGATCTACTGATTTACTGAAACATTTCATGACCTACTGAAGAATATTTTGACACTCATTCATTGTTGTGATTACTTCTATTAATATTAATCTTCTGTTTCACATACACTTATAAATTGCGTATTTCATGACCTCTGTTTAAATTGTATTTACAAAATAAGTAATGAATTTACATAGGTACTCATGATATGTATAAACCAAAAAAGGACAATACTTCATATCATTCAGATCAAATTCAATTTTCTATATACCTCTGTAATAACAGTTTGTTCCTTACGTTTAATTTTTTTATTCGTTTTGAATTTTTGTTGTTCATGTTTACTGTTCGTTTCTATTTTTTATATGTTCATCTACATATGTTAGTGTATTCCTCGATATTTGTGAATATCTTTAAATTGACTATAATAGAGGAATATGATCATTATTTTATGAGAATGTTTTTTATTTGTTGCAATTTTAATCAACACACAAATGAAGAAGAAAAATTATTGCTGCAATCGATTAACTGTCAAACACATAAAACTTTTTGTATAGGTACACCGCCTACTAAGTGGGATAATTATGAAAAAATAGACTGATATCCCTGTGGATCATCGTATAAGAGGAACAATTTTAGTTTTATTATTCCAAATGGGAAGATCATGTGATAGGTACATGGCGAAAATAAAAGACAGATGAGTTATTTTTGAAGGTTTTTATCTTGACTCAAACAAGCTATTGACAACCTGCAGACATTGATCAGAATATCAAAATATTTTGAATAATATCGACTCACTAATGATCTTTAAATTTCAAAGCCTACCAAGTGTCGATATATCATCGAATTCATGTCACAGCCATCAACTTATTCTTTTTGAATAAAAAGCAAATCAACAGCGAATTGAGAAATAAATGCCACTCTGTGATACATGGTTAGATAGAGAATTTTAAGGTGAAAAAGATAGACTGAAGAAATGTACAGGGTGACATTAAAAAAAAAGTTGGGGTCACTTCCGGTCAAACAGGTGGTTGAAAAAAATTGTCTTTGAGTTCGTAAAGTGCGCTACCATT